ATATATATATATATATATATATATATATATATATATATATATCGAAGCTTGTGTACGATTTTAAGCTGGATCACATTGCGCGGAAAATATGAAAGATAGATTCTGATGATCAGTTTTACAATAGAGAAATAAGTGTAACATTTCCTCGTTCTGAAGTTCGGAGCAAATAAATCTATCGATTTCGCACAAAATTTATAATTATGATTACATTTTTTCTTTAAACTTTTTATTATAAAGGCTTCTATGTAGCTTCAAATTAGACCACGTTCGCGCGGGAAATATGAAAAATAGATTGTGGTAACTAGTTACGATGCAAACGTAATTCGAAGTTCGCAGCAAATAATGAAAAAAAGAAAAGAAAACAGTAAATCTTTCGGAAAAGCACGATATTTAAATTTGTTCATCACGTTCTTTTTGTACAAGTTGTAGGGTTTTGAAAGAGAATAAATGTTTCGAAAAGAGTAGAAAACTTGTCATTATTCTTGTTTTCTTTTCTTTAGACCTTCAACTAGAAAATGGACAACTATTTCGATTATTTCGTTTCGTTCTGATCATTCTGTAGATCATCATCGTAGTTTTCTAATTTTTACGCGTTAGTTCAGTCACTGTGCATCATACATCATGAAAAAAAAAAAAAAAAGAAAACTAGTCCAACTATTCATTCGTTCAAACTGCACAATATATTATATACAATGTACATTCTACATTTCGTTTTTACCTCACGTAAGCGTTCGTCACTCGTGCATCTGTTATGTGAGACGACGTTAAAATGCGATTCAATCGGCTTATTCCTCGCAGATTGATGCGACGAGCGTCACAATTATTCTGGTTAAAAGAAGAATCACCTGTATTAGAATAAGGACAAGCAATGCGGGAAACGACATAAGAACTTATTAGAGAAATAACGTTGCTGAGAATTATCCGTTGATCGACGTAACAGTTACCAACAAATTTTCACTTTGCAAATGAACAGCATACCGGAACGTTTAAGTAAGCGGTCGGTGTTGTTTATTCTTCGCAGTATGAATAATTATTTCTCACAGTCAGACCGAACATAGAAGGAAGTCGATTATTAAGTTACAAATGTAACTAGCGAAATAATAAATACATTCGCTCGATCCTTTAGAAACTAGCATGGAAAAGTATCATTTATCGTAATTTCGTTTATACTTTTTAATTTTTTAAATGTTCG